ATACCCCTTTGACAGTAACCTGCTGGGATTGCACCTGTTTTACTGATTTATGCCAAATACTTATTTCCTAATTTTCAATTTCAATTCCTATTACATAAAATGGTTCAAGACGACTTTAAAACCACCATTAATTTGGTGATTTATTTTGGTGACAAATAATCAACCGGAAATGCTTTCCCCCCTCTTTATTTGGGCACATTGACGCTTGTTTCTTGACTCGTTTTCCTCCCACTCAGTCAGTGTCGAGAAGGCAGTAAGAAACCCCGTGAGTGTCGGCATTTAACTGTCAAGATACGGATTAACGTTACAAGCCTAGCATTGGGAATATTTCTAGTTCCGACTAGCAAACTGCAAAATATTATCTTCACGCCCCAGCCATGGGTATGAACGGGACGGCGTGGAGGGGAGAGGATTTAAATTTCTCTTTTGATTTGAACTAAACGCACCAGAGCAGAACCGAGCTGCTTTTCCTTGTGTTTCAGTGTTTGTCTGAGATACAAAAAAAAAGTTGTTGTACCTCGATTACGGAACAACAGAATCTTTATAAACGAGTCTGTTTTTGGGAAGTATTTTGGTTTTCCTGGATAGCGGCTCACCCAGTCTGGATTGACCGCTGGACTTGGTCCTGAAAATGGAGGCTGTGATCGAGAAGGAATGCAGCGCGCTTGGAGGACTCTTCCAAACTGTTATCGGAGACATGAAGGTAAGCCAAGTTAACTTTTCAGCACACCTTATGTTACCCGAGAGCTGCTACGCGACGTACACACACTAACGTTAGCTACCCCAGCCAGGTAACTTCCTGAACACCAGTGTAGATGTTTGCTTCAACAGATAACGTGACTCGTATTTAAGTTAGCGGAACCCACGGCAATTTAACGTTAGACCGACTTCTGAACCCACCCTTCCGTAGGAGACGATAAACAACACGGAGTGACGTCAGCGCTGAGTTAATTTGAGATATTACTGATGTTTATGATAGCTTGGTTAGCAGCCCCATAGTCGACCTGGTCTCATATTAACCTACGTACGTTTTCGTGTTGTGGTAACATTAGCTAGCTAACTTGCATTATTATATTTTAATGCGCTCTTTGCATTGTAATCTCCGGGTTGTTAATTAATACAGGGTTGTTGTTGTCCAGTTTGAAGTGGATGCATCAGCCATCATGAATGCTGAATAGCGCGATCTTATTTAGCTGTTATCTCTCAGCGTTGCAGCTTGGTCGATGGGACGATAATTAGCTAATTCTTCCAGCTGTTGCAACGTTACTTGCCCGAAGGAATTCTGGGAATGTAGCTGTCAGGGTAGAACATGACCCGCAGGGTCTGAAGGCTCTGACATGCGGAGGTCAAATGGCCAGCCATCGGGTCTGCTGGAGTCAGGAAGTTTGTTGTGAATACTGCTCAGACATGCCGCACCTCTCGTGTCTCACTTGTCCTGTCTCTTAACTGTCGGGTAACTATGCTGCCAGGAAATACAGTGAAAATAAGCGAACGCTTAGTGTATTTGCTTTGTCTGTACATAAGCCATACTCTCTTTCAGTGAAGTCTTTTCTTTTTAAAGAACTACAGACGGGGTTGTGTACCCAAATATAAAGTGACGCCTCGCTAAACCCAAGCTGTCAGCAATGGGAGTAAGAAATGCAGAGAAAGCCCATTTGTCATGTTTGATATGTGATGGTGGTGGCCGAGAGAGAGAGAGAGAGAGAGAGAGAGAGAGGATAGCACAAAAGTGATGTCAGGGAGAATGGGAGAGAGAGAGAGGTACTGTGGGTAGAGAGAGTTGGTTGTTGGGTGTAATGTTTGACAGCATAACATGACATTCCTCAGACCCCTGACAGTAGTAGCACATCAGTGACGAGCATGTGCTCATGGCATGATATCTGGTGCTGTCGTACTGAGATGATGCATTGGGCCGCTTGTTCTCTGAGATGGTTTCAATAGGAGGCTCTTCAGCTTATTTTCAGCCCAGGACCTGAATTAGGTAAATTTAGAGTCCCGTCGGGAACCAGGCTCATTATAGCATGAATTAGTGCTCTTGTTGTGTGGGGATCTTTCCAAAAGAGGCCGGCGACCCATTTTGCAACCTGTCACATGCAGGACATGACCGTATCAAACCTCATGCTTTTCAGTTTCATGCACCTCTGTTAAACACATTTTCATCCAATAGCTTCAGTTTTCTGATTCCCTCATGTCTACTCTCATGGGAAAAACATCATTTTTGGGTGATAAACTTGGTCACATGTATGGGAAAGCCTAAGCCTTGGATTTGTCCTGTTTAGCCCTGCAGGTGAGGCGAGGCATCATGTTGATCGAACTGTTATGTAATTCTGGGAATAATGAAATCTGTTCTGACGATTGTGTCATCCGAGTTTGTGTCTCTTTTCCCCCCACAGAGCAGCTACCCTATTTGGGAGGACTTTATCACAAAGGCCGGCAAACTGCAGTCCCAGCTCAGGTGAGACTTGTGTACTCGTGCTTTCAACCTATTTTTTTGCTTTACTTGGACTTTTACATTAGATCTCAGTCAATTTCCCTCTGAAGAAGTTTTAAATTGCCACGTGTCCTTGGACTAACAAGCAGTGACAGTCTACATAAAAGCCTAATCTCTTAACAATGCTGTCCAGGGGTCATTATGTGCCCCTCTCCCCCAGTTAGTCCTCTTTAAGCCTGATTAAATTAGTATTTCAAATGCTGTAAATTTGCACACCTCCTGCCAAAATTATTCCAAGTCTTCTGTTAACAATGAATGCCAATCCCAGCCACCTCCCCTAGTTGGTTTTAAGTGGCCACATGTCAGGAGACGAACACTTTATGACAGCTGAAATAAAAGCTTATTGTCCAGCAAGTACTGTAAATATGGATGTCCTGTGGCCTAAATTATCCTTTGATTAACAATGCATGGCAGTTCTCTAGCCCTTTAAGTGTCCACGTGTCCTGAGACAGACTAATAGTGATGGTTGGATAAAGGCTCAGGGACTTAACAATACGTCCCAGGGGCCACTCAGTGTCCCATTCTTCCATTTGTGTCAGTATTAAGGCTGATTAATGGTGATATGTTATTCAAGTGTCTCCATTATTCGGGGGTTAAATATGTGACCCTGCCATGCTAAAGCTCAGGGGAGTATTTGTAGCCTTGTTGCTAATGACTGCTTGTTTGGCAGTAGGATGGCTGTGTGCCTGGGCACCAGGGCAATGATAAAAGAACAAATCTAGCAGTAACTGTACTGGTGAAAAGCTCGGTTGAACCTACAGTACTGTAAGTCAATGAGATCTTTTTATCCAGTCCGAGTAGGTTAGTGGCAGTTTGATAATGGAGATGCTTGTAAAAATTTGCCTTCTGTCCAATATATGACTATGTTATAATGTCTGATCGCTGTCCTTTTATTTAACCTATTGGTTTTCCATTATTAAGCCACCATGGCTGGCTTTAGCGATGCTGCTGTAGCATTAAGTGTGTGCTATCTGGGCATGCTCACGGTGACCTACAAATACGGCCTTTTCTGTCTGCTTTTAACATTGTTTCAGGCAAATAAAACTTTGGCAAAACTAGCCCCTTCAAGATGAGAGTGAGGAGGAACGCACACCATAATATTACCAAGATAAAAGTACAAGTGTGAAGGAACAGTCGAACACTGCCACGATGCAAAAAAACGATTTGGCCTGATCATTTGATCAACCTTTGGTTTTACTGAATTTAATACATCACCAATGTTCCAACAAAAAGAAACATTGGTAGTTATTAAATATCTTTTTTGCGTCGCGGCTAGAAGTGTGCGACTATCTTCCTTCACACCCAAACTAGCCTCTTCGACTACAGCATAACCCACACCCAAGGACCTCTATAATCTGCTTTAGGCTCCATAGAAGGACACACACACACACACACACACACACACACACACACACACACACACACACACACACACACACACACACCTTCCCTCCTCGGCCTGGATAAGTGACTATCCAGCAGTGGTAGCGGCATATGTCTGTGTGTCTAATGACGTCCTAAAGCAGGCTACTCTGTAATTTAGACCCTCTGCTCCCCTCTCACAAAGCAACTAGGAAATCAACCAATTACAGTGGTGGACCTGTTCTGTCATTTTTTTTTTTTGGTTCAAATATGGTGTGTTTTTTCCTGCCAATTCTGGTTTTAAGCAACCATCACACACACACACACAAACACACACACGCATAACAGCTTTGAAGAAAGAGGGCAGGGTGGAATATAGGCTAGCTGATTTCTAATCACAGTCATCTTTTAACTTGTCAGTGTTTGGTCTGTTTAGTGGATCATGGTTGATGCAGCTGCAGAGCGAGGCATACACAGAGGCCTCTCTCTCGCTCTCTCTGCTTCAGAAGAAGAACATTTTGTGAAAAACAGACCACCTCAAAACTTCAAATTCAGCTCATGAACTGTATGGTTATAAAACGTATTTGGAGTCAACTAGGAGCCCTAAAAGTTTAGTCGGTAAATGGACAAGTGGATTGATATACGGGTAGACCAACAGATACATACGGTACAAACATACATGCGTGCAGAAAAATCTCCTAAAGCACATTATCTGTGTCATGAGTCTTTGCCTGTTGTGTCAAACAAGGGGAGTTGAAGACAACCTCTTTCTATGATATAGATTTACTACAGTCACATTCCAGTTTCTGTTGATCTAAGAATAGATGGGGGCAGCAGTGCTGAATATATCGTTGTCAGAAATAGCAAGCTGCTACACTACCTCAGGGTCTATGGGGAGTTTAGATTGGCTCGGCCAAGGCCTTGCGGTATAGATGTAAAAGTCGTTTGTCTTGACTCCAGCACAGGGGGCGTTTGCAGATGTTAAGGCCAATGGTAGCAGGCGGGTCATTGTTGGAACACTGTGCAGAGCTGAAGGCTCGTAGCAGCAATGAGTTATTTTTTTCTTCACAGCCACAGAAGTCTTGGGGGTTTTTTGGCTGACCGTCAGAGCTGAAATGAAAACCTGATTATTCTGCCTTTGGTGCAACTTAATATCCATTTATTTGTTGAGAGGTTACCTAATTTCATTGTCAATTGAGCCAGAAAATTTTAAAAAAAAGAAGATTTTGAATGTTATGTAAAACCATGATTTTTCCATCTTATGCTGAGGATAGTTGAATGTCTCGTGAACCAGTTTAATAGTTTGGCATTTCTCTACGAACGGAGCAGGTTACAGCAGGTCGTTATGGCTTTTAATTGAAAACATCTGCACATTGTACTTCACTGGGCCGGAGCCATTAATACCAAAAGTCTGCTTCTGTTAAAACCACTTCACACACAAACCTGTTTTGGATTAATGACTTAAACTTGACTGAACAAGACTTTTGCTACTAGTGCATGTAAATTATAATCCACCCACCGATGTATACTGGGAATATATTAGTGGAGACAGATATCTGTTGAAGGTTGCTTGAGTGGCTGCACTTGGCTTTAAATAGAAAGGAATCTGTGTGCATGTTTCTTTTTCCATTTGCAGGACACGCCCTAGGATCTTCTGGTCAGCTCAACAACAACACAGCACTTATCAGCCAATTATATGACGCTTTTGAGTGATAAAGAAAGTTCCATTATTTACTGAATGCTACGACTTAACTGTCACTCAAATCTAGAAGAATATTTAGGCCTGAAACTAAGTTTTGGATCAGGTTTGTTTAACAGCTGTGTTCTGTTGTTTTTACCTTTCTTTCGTATGGAGGCCCTTCTGAGCTGTTAACTGTAACTCCATTAAGCAGCTAACAACTCAAGCAGTCTTGAGACAGTTGAGGAAAGACGTTTTAAAAAAAATACAGTGCAACTCAGCCTTAGGAACACATTGTAAACACAATTAACCTTCAGTCTATTTCAAAATGACGTAAGTGATTTTGAGAGGGCACGACTCAAAGTGGCTCTGTGGTCGGCACTGGTTCTGGGTGCTGAGCCCCAGATTCCTTTCAGACTTGTAGTGTTCAGCCCAGACCGATGTTGCCCCGACGCTTCACATGTGCAGTAGTACTCCCCAAGATCTGTAAACACACTTTGGTGTGTAAAACTGATACCCTTCTCCCAATAAGGATATCACCACACCACAGAGGCCATGCGTCAGGAGCAGTTCTGCCGTTGCCTTGTGTGTGTGTGTCTTAAGATAAACACACAGTTAAAAAAAAAAAAAAATAGGTGTGTCATGGTGTTGGCAGATTGAGGATTAAAAACGCTTTTTTTCCATGTGCTAGTCACACTTTAGAAATGCCACCAACCTGTGTTCAGCTCTTGTTGTTGCACAGTTGTGAAAGCTACCTGTAAGGCTTGTTTATGGAATATCACAAGTTGTGTAATGATGGTTTCCTGTTGGCCCTTTGGAATATAACAAGTGTTTACAAATGAAGGTACTCGGGGTTAGAACAAACATGCTCTTTTGTCCAGGAACATTTTTGTTTCTGTTTTTTTTGAACGCATGACTGCTGTATTGTCTCTGTTTGTGGAGATTAGGTATCACAAATGCACGTGCACACACACACACACTTACAGACTCAAAGAGCGTCATCTCCATACCTGTGATCTTAATCGTGAGAGCCCTTTTGTTTCTGAAGTAGGTGAGTTAGTATTTGCCAGTCAGTTGGCCCGCCAATGAGGCGACTTGTTGCCAGCGAGCAAAGTAGCCGGTCGGTCAGACAGGCACGATAGTATCTGTAATGAGTAAGACAGAAAGCAATCCTACACCAAGTTTCCACAACTTTTTTATGAGATTGAATTTTGTCCTTTCGTCAATCTATTATATTATACCACAATTTGTAAATACTTGGTCAACCCTACAAGATGACAGAGGCAGGTATGATCCCGTAGATCACACATTGATCCTTTCATTGACCTGTAAGAGCAGCAAACTCAGCGCTGAGCTGCTCTGCTGAGCCGGACAGATTCCAGCGGTAGACTTAGACATTCCTCACACAGCAGGGCACGTTTTCAGTCTTAACTCACTCAGACACTCGCAGTAACTACAGACACTCTTATACATACTTAACATTTCAAATGATCAGGGTTGATGTAAGCTTCATAATCTAAAATGTAGCACACTTATTGATCAGCCACCTGTGTTTATGTTACCTCTGGCTGAATCAAAGTACTGCTTCTGCCGTCACTATTACACTGTGATGTTCCTTTTTTTTGGACAGTTTTATAAAATATGGTGCCGTGTATTGTCTCTCCTCTTTAAAGTGTGACGTATTTACTTCCATACTGAACCTCCGTTTTACTCTTTTCTCCCAGGGCGACGGTGTTTGCTGTGGCGGCCTTCCTCGATGCCTTTCAGAAAGTGGCCGACCTGGCTACCAACTCACGAGGTAGGAACATGCACAACAATTTAAAGGCTGGAGTGTATGACTAGTGGTCTTCTACTGCAAAACTACCCATGATCTCTGGAAGGAATCGGTGTCACTTTCAGTCTTGATAGACACAGTGCTGGAAGGGTTAAATCATTTAACTCGCTGTTAAACAGTATGTGTGTCTGGGCACCTGAGTGTCAGTATGTGTGTCTGTGTAGCCCGACTGTGCAGCTCCAGTCTTTCACCCCGCTGTGCTGAGACGTTTTGTGGGTTGTTTGCTTTATCGCATGGGTAGTAAATCAGTCACTATGCTGTTTTGAAGATCTGCTGCTGGCTTTTGTCTTCGACCTCTGCCCCCTTTCCCCCTGCTTTCTGCCCCCCCACCCCCACATATACTCCACCTCTGCTACATCTGGACTCTCCCCGTAGAGTCTGCTCCAACTCTGTACGCGTATGAGAGAGAAAGAGAGAGAATGAGAGCTCTCATCCCTCCCTAGCTTTGACACCTCAGACCCTGCTTCATACTATTAATACTATTAATGTGAACTGAGACAGGCACGCACATTCATCACCTCACTTTCTGTGGAGAAAAATAGGGGGGAGAGAGAGAGAGAGAGATGGGGGGAGTACAGGGAGTCATAATTCTCTCGCTCCCTCCTCCTCCGTCTTAACGCACACAGTATGGATGTTTACTGCGAAGGAGTCAGATTCACTGCGCTGAAGAGCGTCATCTTTCATCACTTTCTCTTACCACGCTCTCCACATATCTTATGTTCGCAGTATTGCATTACACCGGCTTCGCTGTACACCTGAGCTCCTCATGGATAATGTGTTATAGTGCACTGTTGGCTGACACACTGCTGTCTGTATCAGAGATGGATAACCCTGTCCACCTGATAATCGTACCAGGGTATTATAAGGAGTCTTTATTATCTGGATTACGGATTATATTTTCATTTTAGGCTCCAGTTGTATATATTCCTTTTGCAAATTCCTAAAACGTTTGTATCACACCCTGTACCTCAGACTGGTGCTGTACACTGTAAGGGCACTACTTAAGCCTGTAAGCCTTTCTTTATAGCTTATCATACTTTGTATAAGCTTATGAATGCTTTGACAACATACTATAGCAAATAGCTTTTAATATGTGTGTATCTATCTGTGTTATTCTTTGTCTTCAAACAGTTGTATTTATAATGCTCTGTAGACTAGTTCAGTGCTCATAACAACCTTCAGCTTGATTTATTCTTTGAAGTAGTTCAAATATCTGCTGAAAGTTATAAACTTGTGCGTGCGTGCATGTTCGTGCGTGTGTGCGTGCGTAGGTTTGATGTTAAAGAGCATCTGCATGGTTTAGTGTCTAGATCAGATAATGGTGGTCAGGCTAGTACTGACACACACACCATTTTATGTTTGCTCATCATGATAAGCCAGAGGCTGCTGAGGCCACACTATACAAAGATGATGACTTCTTTCCTTCATCTTTTCTATCTTCTCCGTGTTCTTGCTTCTTGTCCTCCTGTGTGTCTGAAACCTGTATTCAGGTGTTTGTGGATCAAAGGTGTGTGTGTGTGTGTGTGTGTGTGTGCGCGTGTGCGTGCGTGTGCGTGTGCGTGTGTGTGTGCGTGCGTGCGTGCGTGTGTTAAGGTGCCAAAGTAAAAAAAGGAAAAACATCCCTTTATCTCCCCACCACCACACCATAGAGACCGCCAACTGTTAAAGTGCTGCTGTAATAATAACAGTAATGAAAGCGCACCAATATAAAGGTAACCTGAGCTTTGACAGTGCACCTGTTGAAGGTTATTTAGTCTCTTAATCAGGAGAACAAGGCTTTGGGCCGCCTTTTGTAAACGGTTGAACTATTGTCGAGCCTTGCAGACATTGGCAGTGATGGGAGCTCATAAAAATTCAACGCTTGAGCACTTGACTCAGCAGACTTTGATATGAGACAGTAGTTATGTTTATAGGTGTTTAGATGAAAGTGACTTGGGGACCTTTTTATCAGTGTTATCACTGAAGCAGCACGATCACAAGCTTGAAAGACACAGAAGTCTTTTTCAAATGTGAACCTTGGACCGCAAAGCTGTGTTCTCATATGCATCTCTGCTCAATTATTTATATGTTAAATGCATACCAACCATTTTATAATAACACTTCCATTTAAGGACCATTCCATTTTCTTTTCGCTCAGTTCCCAATGTGGATAAAACCTGGAATAACTACCAATGAAACATTCTTCTGCACAGGTAGCCCCGGGCAAGACCTGTCTCACTCAGGTCCTTAATACATTTCCAGTGCTTAATACCATCTAAATATGGAACTTTTGTTCCCATTTGAAATTCATGAAAGGTGGATTCAAGGTCTTCAAATACCTCAATGATTTCATTAAGCTCAGACTATTAAGGTACAGTAACAGGAAGACACCTTATTCACAGAAGCTTTGCCCAAGATTTATTTATGAATTTTTAAATATCTTTGATTGCAACAGCTATCAAAGATATTATAATCTTAACAATAATTGAAATGGCTTTTAATTAAAATGTGCTTTTTGATTTATGGTGAAAAAGCACTGTCGCTAGAGTTGGATCATGCAAAACACACCAGAGTTGTGAAACAATCTTCCAGTATAAACACCAGTCAGTGCTCATTGCATGAGCTAATCACTGTGGTGCAGTAAAAACCTTTGACTGAGTTTTGAAAACAGCAAAAGTCTGTAGCTTCATGTAACTCTCAGCTGTTTGATGTTGTTTGTGTTTCTGCATTTGTTTAAGTGCTTTTTGCATCACATGGGCCAGGTTGAAAATATCCAATTAAAGCAGAGTTCAGGTTGGAAAAGAGATGAGGATTAAGATGAAAGGATTAATTTGTATTACCAAAATAAACTCTGAGTATGCTTCTTTTCATTGTCAAGATTTGTAAAGGTGAAGTCCAGCTTACCAGTTTACAGTTGAGTGAAACAAAATAACCGGAATGCCAAGTGGAGAAAGTTTGAATGAATGAAAGAAAGAAATACTTAAGTTTCCAGACAAAGCCTTTCCTTTCCACTCTATTGGAGCTTACAGTGAACACAGACACAGTAACAATATACTGTATGTATTTATATATATATATATATATATATATATATATATATATATATATATAT